TTCAAAATCGCGGCGCTCGATAATTCGGACGCTTTTCAGAAAACGCGTTCTTCAATGCTGTGAGTGTGCTGCTGGATTTCGGACACCTCTGCGCCTGAGCCAAATATCTCATTCCAACGTTGAAGTAGCGCCGACCACACGAGCACCGAAAACGAGAACCATCAGACATTGTTTGACAAGTCTTTTTAGGCTACCAAATAGTCGGCGGCCAGCCCGGGGGGGAAGCGAGAGGGGCCTTCTTGGAAGGCTCGGAAGTCCCCCGGCCTGCCGAGAAGCTGCCGAGGCCTTCCCCGAAGGCACGGACCACTTCTCCAAGGCCCGAGAGGGCTCCGGAGAGCCCCCGCCCCCCCGCTTGCCACCCCTCGCGCGCCGCCGATCTGGAGCTTCGCATGCGAGCAGCACGGAATCATGCGACCCCCTGTCCCCCAGCTGCGGGGCCTGGGCCCCACTGGCCGATTTACCTCCCCCAGGTGGGGATCACTAGAAGCCGTTTCATGGGGGTCTCGAGGGGTCTTTCCCCAACTGGGGGGTGAGATGGTGGGGGTCTGGATGGGGATGGGGATGGGAATGGGGGTCGGATCAACGCCACTTGGTTAAAGGAAGAAAAAGCGGCATAGACATAAACTTTGAGGAATCCACGCAGATTTCTTGACTCTGCGCTGAACCCCCTCCCTGGCGCGCGCCAGAGGCGGCGCCGGAGGCGCCTCCAGGGAGGGCCCAGCGCGGATCCAAGAAGTCCGCGCGGACCGCCAACAATTTATACTTGTGCCGTTTTTGCTCTTCGAGGCTCAACGACACTAATTGAGGAATCTTTGCTTTGAACGGCCGAAATACGGAAAAAAATGATACAATGACCAACAACGAATGTATTGTCCAAAACCGACAGCGGACGCTGTCGGGCAGGCGGCTTTCTGTCTTCCAAGCATCACGTCCCCGGCCTGGCGGCGTGAGCAGCGGATCCTGTTCAAAACGAACCAGAACTGCTGCTTGGCATCCATTCTTTCCGTACCCATTCCCGGAGATCCGACGTCGCGATTTTTTCAACACGGGGTCCCCGGGAGTCTCGACTGGCTTCCCCAGGACCGTTTTTTCACTCTGAATTGTTTTTTGACAGTCTCGGGGCCCGGCGAGGGCCCCTAGAGACCGAAAATTGTGAAAAACCTTCGCCTTGATTTTTTCAATAAAAGAAAAACAAAACCACATAAACAAAAACTTTTGGCGCTCCGTGCGGTTTTCTTGGACCCGCGCTGGGGTCCCCCTGGCGGCGCCTCCGGCGCCGCCCCTGGCGCGCTCCGCGCGCCAGGGAGGGGGGTCCAGCGCGGATCCAAGAAATCCGCGCGGAGCGCCAAAAGTTCATGTTTTTGTTTCTTCTTCTTCTTCTTCTTCTTCGTCTTCTGGGTCAGTACGCTGCATCTCTGGGTTTCGATCGTCCCGATCTGCAGGCCCATACACCAGGCTATGTCGTGGGGACTGTTGATTGCACCCCACCAGCGGGTGCCGGGCGCCGGGCTCCAGCGCGGCCGCCACCACCCGCTGCTGCGCCTCGTTTGAGGTCGGGCACGTCCTCCCACAGGCGGATTTTGGACGAGAACTCGAAAAGAGTCCAGAGAATCATCGAAGATGGTTAAGAGTGATCCAGAAATCGTCCCCCGACTATTTTTTGTTCACTATTTTTGGGTGTTCCTCCTGTTGAGGGACGTGCCCGACTTCAGCCTCGTTCAGCGAGGAGGGCAGCGGCGCGGCGCCGGCGCCCAGGCCGGGCGCGCGCCGGCCGTCCGCGCCCGGCACGCTCTGGAAGAGGGCCTCGGCCTGATGAGGGAGGCATGAGGGAAAGGAGCAACGACACGAGCATAAGAGCTCGGAGGCCCGCGCGGATTTCTGGGATCGACGCCGGGCCCCCCTCCCTGTAGGCGCGCGGAGCGCGCCAGGGGTGGCGCCGGAGGCGCCGCCAGGGGGGCCCCAGCGCCGATCCAAGAAATCCGCGCGGACCTCCGAATTTGATATGTTTATGTTTATGTTGCTCCCATCGCACTTCAGGACCACATCCCAGAAATAATTTCGAGCACCGAGAAAAGTATCGAAACAGTGTCGAACAAGTATCACCTCCCAGGGCCCGACACGTGAAGACCGTCCAGTTTCGGTGCTTTCTCTTGATGCTCGAAATTATTTTTCTGGTGATCAAAGCCAAACTAGGTTGGAACATCATAAGTTTATGTCATTGCTTGTTCCCTTAAGTCATGAGAGAGTCGAGACGCGAGGTTTTCGCTATTTTCGGCCTCTGGGGGGGGGCCCTTGCCAGGCCTCGGAAAAGAAAAAAAATACGGCTCCAGACGCGGAAAAAACTGGCGCCAGGGAGTGGGTCGAGACCTCTGGGGGTCGACGCCATGACAAAAAATCATGGCGCGGGGGTCTGGGTAAGGACGTACTTCGGCGGCGCGCCGGGGGGGGGAGGAGGAGGAGGAGGAGGAGGAGGAGGAGGAGGAGGAGGGGGAGGAGGAGGAGGAGGAGGGCGAGAACGCAAAAGCCTTGATGCTTATGCTGGCCCAAGGGGCGGGAACACCTCTCAGAAGGCTATACGGGCCTCGGCCCGCGGTGGGAGGCATACAGCAGGAGCTCGACCACAGGAAAACTCCCACGAGAAGCCCAAACCTGAGACCCCAGGATGTCCATTTCTGTTCGCTGTGGGTCAGCCACGCGCAGAGGGGGGTGGGGGGGGAAGGGGGGAGGGCTTCTTAGAAGCACCCCTGCTTCTTAGAAGGCGCGGACCTTGTCTATAGATGAAGGCCGGCGCCTTCTAAGAAGCAGCTTCCTTCTAAGAAGCCCTCCCCCTCCCTCCACCCACTTGTGCGCGCCGCCAAGTGGGAGCGTCACGCTGTCCATAGCAGACCCATCGAAACGCAAGAAACCGCAGGGCACCCTGGAGGCAAGCAGGGTGTTTCTTCGCATGGGCTCCCACTGCAAGGACATGCTTCGGCCGCGCGACTAGGGGGGGAAACGGGGGGCGGGCCGTCTCACCAGGCTCCGAAGTCCCCTGGCCTTCTGGGAGGCTCGGCTCTCTATGGGCCCTCCCCGCGGGCACGGGAAGCCTCTCGGAAGGCCGGCGGCCTCACGGCGGGGCGGCGCAGTCTGCCACCCCCCCCCCCAGGGCTCCCCGGGCCAGGCCCAACACCCGAGCAAAGGCAGCGGAGCGCACGCCACGCCCTCCTGGCTCGGCCAGGGAGGGCGCGGCCAGGGAGGCGCCCGCACAGCTCCTGGGCCCAGGACGGGCCTCGCCAGGGGGGCAGCGGACACTGCTGTCAGGGCGTGCCGGTCTCCCTGCAGGAGGATTTTGGGCGAACCATAAAAAGTACCCCTCAGAAGCTCAAAGATACTCAACACATAATCAGCACAATCGTCCCCTGACTATTTTTGAGTATTTTTGGATATTCCCCCTGTAGAAGGACAGGCCCGACTTAATACTTATGTAGAGATGTCGTCGCCCGACAAACATAGGAGACATACCTGGCACTGAGTGCCTCTGCTCCAGGCGCATGTCGAACCCGAACACATCGCACAGCGGGGCTGGGCCTGAACGTCGTGTGTCTCATTCTGTCTTCGCTCGGGCGTTCGCCTCGCTCTGCCCGTCTTCTTCCGGTACCTCCCCGCCAGAACGAGAAACGAGACACGGCCGAAGTCCAACAGCACAGCGTCTATAGACAAGCGCGTTCCACTACTCGCAAAGTAATTACTCGCAAATGGCCTGGATCTGCCGCGGGCGATCTACGACACATTACATCGAGGTAGAGATGGGTCTGTGCGTGTGTGTGTCGGACGTTTGCGAGTAGGCACCTTGCGAGCAGTGGAGCGCGCTCGGTGAGTCCAGGTCCGGCCCTGTCGCACAGCATCTCGTAGCACACCCTCTCCCGAGCGGCACACGGCCAGAAAGAGCGCCCGCCGCGGAGCCTCTGCCTGCATCAGGTCAGGTATTTGTGTCCAAGCGCGCGGGTCGCCCCTCGCGGGGGCCGACGCACAACAGTCGGATAACAAAAACATGTCCGGGTGGCGCCGCTAGGAAGGAGCGGCACACGCACCAAGAACCCGTCGGAACGAAGCGCAGAAGTCTCGGATCTGCGTGGGCGACGCATTTTATGTACTCGTGAATGTATGCACACAGTCAGAAGGTATGGCAAGGACAGGCGACAAGGACGCAAGGGCCTTGGGACGCCGAAGCTGGCTCTTTTTGGGCGGCGGGCTGCTAACACCCTGAAGGGCTGGCCAGTGAAGACCGCGAAGGACGGGCCGCAAAGGCAAGAACGCAGAGGTACCCAAAGGACAGCCGTGCGTCCTCACTATGAGTTTTGACTGTGCACCACCGCCCGAAAACAATCTATCGGCAAAAATGTGCTGAACGAACGCCGCGCCGGACGATACAATGATCGATGGGTAGGCAGCGGGCCAGCTACGTAAGAGGCTCACCAGCGTCAGCAGCACGTTTGGCGCGTGCGTTGCAAGTAGGGACCCTCGGTAAAGAAGCCTGAGCTCCTGCACGCCGATCCGCATCGGGGCTGCCCCCCCCCCTCTCCTTAAGTCTGGCCTGTCCTCCTACAGGGGGATTTTGGACGACAGAAAAATACTAAAACAAACATCCCCCAAAGTGGCCCCAAAAATACTCGATAAATCGTCCCCTGGCAATCTTTTGGCTACTTTGAACCTTCGTCCTGTAGCGGGACAGGCCCGACGTGACCTTCGCCCTGCCGCGCTGCGCGCCCCACGGGCGGCGCCGCCTTGGGGCGATCCACGGAGCCGTCGCGCGGAGCTCCGAAAGCTTTTGCCGGTGCCTTTGCTCTGGGGGGTGCTTCGAGCGGTAGGTCGGGCCTGTCCCCCCGAAAAGGGGGATTTTGGATGAAAAAGTAAAGGTACTCGAAAAATGCCCCCACAATGCTCAAAAATTGTTTAAAAAAATGGTCCCCAGGCTAATCTTTGACCATTTCTGAACATTCCCCCTGTAGAGGGACAAGCCCGATTTACTTCCAGCGCCTGCGGGACGTCCAGGGCCCGGTGCATCGCCACGTTCTGGAAGCGCTGCGGCAAGAACTCGACGTCGAACGGCCCAGTCGCGGACGCGAGGCGCTGGTCTTGGAGGCGGCCAGGGGGTCCGGGGCTGGACAAGCCCAGAGAGAATCTAGACGAGTGCGCTCCACTACTCGCAAAGTAACTACTCACAAACGGCCTGGATTCGCCGCGGGGGATGTACGATAAATTACATCAAAGCAGGCATGTGTTTTTCGGACGTTTGGGAGTAGGCACTTTGCGAGTAGTGGAACGCGCTCGGCGAGAATCTGTCAAAATCGGCGCGACCCCTTCTCCCACCAACCCCTCACTTCCTCCCCCCTGAATTCCCATTTTCCCTCCACCCCACTCCCTTCCTCCCCACTCCTCCCCACTCTTCCCCACTCCTCCCCACTCCTCCTCCACCTCCTCCTCCTCCACCTCCTCCTCCTCCACCTCCTCCTCCTCCTCCTCCTCCTCCTCCTCCTCTTCGTTCTCCTCTTCGTCCTCCTCCTCCTCCTCTTCCTCCTCCTCCTCCTCCTCCTCCTCCTCCCTCCTTCCCTCCTCCCCCCAAAATCGCTCCAAATCAGCCCCCAGACCATACCCCTCCCGGGTCCAAGCTCAGCAGCTTTTCGAGGCGCGTCTGGTCGTGGCGACGAGGAAGCCCCTTGCTTCCCCCCTTCGGGCGACGAAATCTAGCTGCATGTCCACTGCTCCACTGCCGGGCCCGTCCTAAACCCAGCAGCGATGTGCACGCCACGCCCTCCTGGCTCGGGCAGGAGGGCGTACACACAGCTCCTGGGCTCAAGGTGGGTCTGGCCAGGGGGGCAGTGGATATGCATAGACAAAGGAAAAACGCAAACTTTTGGCGCTCCGCGCAGATTTCTTGGATTTGCGCTGGACCCCTCTTCCTGGCGGGCGGAGCGCGCCAGGGGCGGCGCCAGCGGCGCCGGAGGCGCCGCTGGGGAGGGGGTCCAGCGCGGATCCAAGAAATCCGCGCGGAGCGCCAACAATTTGTTCATGGCGTTTGTTCTTATTCGGTGTGTGTCTGTGTAGATCCCGTCGCCCAACAATGCAGGGCCACTCGGACCCCCAGCCGGCTCCAGTGCTGGTCCGCCGCGAGCAGCACGGCGCCGCCCGCGCCACCCGCCTGCGCGGTGGCGCGGTAGGCGCGCGCCGCGGAGCAGCGGATCTCGATGCGCACGCCGCGCAGCAGCTCCTCTGGGGGCGCCCCGAGCTCGTCGTCGTCGTCGTCGTCGTCGTCGTCGTCGTCGTCGTCGGCGTCGGCGTCGGCGTCGGCGTCGGCGTCGGCGTCGGCGTCGGCGTCGGCGTCGGCGTCGGCGTCGGCGTCGGCGTCGTCGTCTCGGGCGCTCCTCCAGGGGCACCCCGAGCTGGTCGCTCGTCAGGGCCCTCGTAAGCCAGGACACTGCAAACCAAGACTCTTCAGATTCTGGGGAAACCAAAAACGTACCGATACCACTGCTCCTGGACCTCTCCTGGGTGCGCTCTGACCAGGACTTCGAGGCGCATCCAGCGGTGGCGCCGAACACCTCCCAGGAGGCCCCAAAAAGAGGGAAACGAGGGAAGGGTAGAGGTATGGGTACAAGGAGGAGGAGGAGGAGGAGGAGGACGAGGAGGAGGAGGCGGAGTGAATGAGTGACCAGTGCCTTGGGCAAAAATCCGTACTTACACTCTTCTCAGCGTCTCAGCTTTGCTGAGAACTTTGGGCCATAAATCTGCCAGGATTCGCCGAAGATGCCCTCGGCCAGTGGGGGTTTGCTTGCATTCAGCTGCTTTGAGCGATTGTAGACTCTTTGCGGCAAACTTCCCACAGTGTTGACAAAACCACAAGTTCAAACCATCGTGATAGGAAACGCGGTGATTCAAATGTACCAACCCTCCTAACAAATGGATGCGTGCCCCAACGGGTGGTCTGAAGATACTTGTGGCTGTACACGTCAGTGCAAAGCAATTTGCGTGGCTAATCCATTCGGTGACTGTGCTGGCTGGGGCTGAACACCGGCACCGTGCGCATTTACGCCCGCACTCAAGGAACGTTTGCTGCGTTGCGACAGAAACGGCGGCATATTTTGACGGGGCACGGGGAGGCCGTCCAGCAGCGGCAGGAGGCGGCGGAGCTGGAGTAGAAGGACCCGCACCCCCTACGGTCTCTTCCCGCTGGGCACGCCTCAAACTATCCTCGGCTCGCATTGCGTCTTGGCACGCAAGAGTCTCCGGCGCACCAGCAGGGCGCGACACTCGGCTGTTGCGAATTACCTTGGCCCGTGCGGCGCTGGGCACGCGATACGCTGCCGCAGCTTCCCCAGCCAAATTGTCGACGAATTCATTTCCGAGCCGCACCCACTCTGGAATGCCACGATCAGCTGCCTCGCTGCCGGTGAGGTGGGAATTGATGTGCACAACTGCAAAGTCAGAAGAAGACTTAACGCGGAAATTCTGGCCAATCCGTCCCCACAAGCACGCGTCGGGGCCGGAGGGAGACAGAAGCCCACCAGCATGCCAGCCGTGAAGTACCATCTCGGCGTCAGTGACATAAACTCTGGGACCAGAAAAAAGACGAGTGACAAATTCCAAACTGGCCAACTCAACTCTAGGTACTGACTGAACAGATCCGGGTAGAGGCCCGGACACGCCTGCCATCAAATCTCGCCCATCGCGTCGAAGAATACCAATTGCTAGGCCAACCCTTCTCAAGTGAAGTTCCGGGCTATCAAAACCGGGTGCAACGGGGTGCCTGTGCCAAAACATCCTGGATCGAGGACACCGTCGACAAGTCCGCAATGCGACCACTGTTCCTCGTGAGTGGGCGGGGGCACTGAGGTCCAAGATGCTGACATCAAACCACGAAACCAAAAACACGCATCACGTTCATGATGGACCTGAGCTTCGTAAGATAAAGCGTCAGACTCAGCGTACGCTTCGTTACTTACCACTGTTGCAAGGACTATCCCAAATACGATGAAACGGTGTCTCCGTAGCTGCACGGCACCGCGGAGGAGGAGGAGGAGGAGGAGGAGGAGGAGGAGGAGGAGGAGGAGGAGGAGGAGGAGGGGGAGGAGGAGGAGGAGGAGGAGGAGGAGGAGGAGGAGGAGGAGGAGGAGGAGCAGGAGGAGGAGGAGGAGGAGGAGGAGGGGAGAGGGAGGGGGAGGAGGACGAGGAAACCCCACCAAAAGGGGAGCCCAGCCGCAGCCGAGCGGCCAGCCTGGCCCCGGCCCACGAAGAGGCCGAAGGCCAGGCCGAGCGCCGCGCCGCGGGCGCTGCCTGACGCCCGCGGGCGAGGGCGCGCGCGGCGACCGTCCAAGGGCCCTTTCGGGCCTCCTTTTTTAAACCCGGCCTCTCTCTTTCCTCGAGGTGTGTGTGTTCCGTTTTCTGGCGTGGCCCATTTGAAGAGCTGCCGCGAACGCGGGCAGCCAACCCGAATCCCACCAGCCCTGTGGGCGTAGGGGGTTCAACAAACCCCTCCTCCTCCGAGGTATTGATTGGTCCCTGGTCCTCTCTCTTTCCTCGAGGTCGGGTTCCCGGGGCCGTCGTCTGAGTGCCCGCACGGCCCTCGTGGGCTGCTGTGGCGCGCTCCGCGCTCCGGGCGCATGCGAGACGCTGCTTGGAGCGAGAAACGCAGAAACGCAGACCCCCAAAAGGGGAACACGAGGGAAGGGTAGAGGCATGGGTACCTTTTCCTCCTCTGAGCTTCCGCCCGGAGAGATCGAACCATGGCAAATGTTGCGGCCCACGGCTGTAGTTACCTCGAGCTCGCCAAAAAATCCTGGCTTGCCGAAGCGTCCCCGCTTGAGGGGCCCCGAACTCAGCTCCGCGGCGTCCAGCCGGAAGAGCCCGTCCCCCGCCTCCGGCAGGGCGTCGACCCTGAAGCGCCGCCGGCTCAGCTCCTCGAGGGGCTTTGTGGGAAAAGTTTGAATGTCTGACAGTGATGATGAGGAGCACGTGCACGTCGATCGGAAGAGGTAGGTAAAAACATGAAGTAGGAAAACGGATAAAGTAGGTTCGGTCCAGGCCCTCCCAGAGAATAACGATACGCAGCAAAAGCACATCGGCTCTTGGGGCAGGAGGGCGCTTGCGGTAGACTGGGATCGAAAGCCGCCTGCGCCAAGAAGACACGCGCGTCTTACAGGAGAGGGCATGGCGACCTTCCGCGGTGGCTCACGCGAGCAGCCAGCACGGCACTCTGCATTGTAAACGAGGGCGCCTACGCGCGACCTTGCGTAGGCGGCTTGCGCGCGAAAGTCGGTTCTGCGTCGCCCAATCGGGGCCCAGACCTTGGCGGATATGTCCCCGGCGCCCTGCAGGGAACCAGCATCCGCCAGGGTCTGAGCACAAAAGCCAGGCTTGTGGTGGGCTGGTGGTGCTGGTCAGGTCCCGCATCCACTCTCTCTCGCTCTCTCTCTCGCTTTCTCCCTCTTCTCTTCTTGTCTGTCTCTCTCCTTCTCCTCCTCTCTCTTTCGTTTTTCTCTCTCTCTCTCTCTCTATCTCTGTCTCCATCCCTTTTTTCCCAACCATCCTGTGGTGTTGGGTCCTCGTTTTGGAGAGAGCGCTCCGCGTCCCTCCTCCACCTCCTCCTCCTCCTCCTCCTCCTCCTCCTCCTCCTCCTCCTCCTCCTCCTCCTCCTCCTCCTCCTCCCCCTCCTCCTCCTCCTCCTCCTCCTCCTCCTCCTCCTCCTCCTCCTGCCTCCTCCCCCTCCTTGCCTCTGCCCTCCACACTGGACCAGTCAACCAGTTCAACGCACCCCTCACACGCTCCGTGGCCCCATAGGGAGCTCCTCCGAAGGCCCCAGCGGCATGCGCCCGCCCCACCAATTGCGGCATACCCCTCACACGTTTCGGGTGGCCGCACAGGGAGTTCCACCGAAGGCCCCAATGGCTAGACTCGCACGCGCCCGCCGCACCCATTTCGGCACACCCCTCACACGCTTCGTGGCCCAAGAGGGAGCTCCGAAGGCCCCAGCGGCTACGGTCGCAGGCGCCCGCCGCACCCACTTCGGCACACCCCTCACACGTTTCGTGGCCTGGGAGCTCCGCCGAAGGCTCCATTGGCGGTGTTCGCATGCGCCTGCCTCGATCATTTCGGCACACCTCTCACAGGCTTCGTGCCCCGAAAGGGAGCACCACCGAAGGCCCCAATGGCTGCGTTCGCGGGCGTCCGCTCCAATCATTTTTGGCTCACTCCTAATGCGCTTCGTGGCCCCAAAGGGAGCGCCATCGAAGGCTTCAGTTGCGGTGTTCGCATGCGCCCGCGCCGCCCGCTCGGGTACGTGCCTCACACGTTTCGTGGTCATATAAGGAGCTCAACCGAAGGCCCCAGCGACCACGTTCGCATGCGCCCGCCCCAACCATTTCGGCATGCCCCTCACACGTTTCGTGCCCCGATAGGGAATTCCACCGAAAGCCCCACTGGCTACACTTGCACGCGCCCGTCGCACCCATCCGGCACACCCCTCACACGCTTCGTGGCCCCAAGATTCACAACTGCGTGAAATGGAAAAGACTGGGGGCTGCCCAGCCACAAGAAAAACAAACGAGTCAGGCTGCTTAGAGGCCTGGTGCAGCAATCGCGGCCTAAGATGGGCTCACGTTGGAACGTGGCCGAAGAGGTAAGAAAGGGCACCCCTCAGAAGTTGCTCTGCCTCAGGAACTTGAAGTACACGTAGCAGAATTGCTCGAAGTATGCAACCACCCAACTAGAATACCTGAGCACATATGGAAACGGCAATGTCGGGACTGCCGCATGAACGGAAGAGGGGCAGGCTACTTCTTCCGTCCCGGGTAAGGCTGAGGCCGGCCAGATTTGGGTCCAGCATCGCCCTCAACACGTCCAAAGGAAGGCTTCCCTGACGAAGCTCCCTGTTGGTGTGCACTAGATCGTGCAGGATCTTTGGCACGTGCAGGTGGCCCTGATGGTTCTCGCCCCAGTGTGTGGCAAGAACTGGCGCCAATTGCACTCCCAGCAATAGACTCGGGGAGCGGGTGCCGGGAATTGAGGGTACCTTCAGACTGCGAGGGTGAATCAGCGCCTGAACGTAGAGCAAGTGCCGGAGCGGGCTCTGCAGCATGACTTCCCCCGAGGTTACTCACAACTGCGTTACTCACAACTGCACATGGTTGGGACCTTCGCCAGGCTAATGTGTTGCTCTCTCTCTCTCTACATATCTATATATATCCCTCTCTCTCCCTCTCTCTCTATTCCTCTCTTCCGCCCTTTCTCCCTCTCAAGACCACCCCTCGCGCCCCTCCCAGAGGCAACGTCCACAACACCTGCTCGAACCGATTCCAACCGCCACCACGAGTTCGCGTCGAGAACCTTGCCCACGCTTGCCACGTATCCGCCGCCGTGCCCCCAAGAGGCCCCAAAGAGACCCCAGAGGTCCCCAAATAAGTCCCCAAAAAGTCCAAGAGCCCCCCCAAGAGGCCCCCGAGGTGCCCCAAGACGGCCCCAAGCCGCCCCCGCGAGGCCCTCCAAGAAAATCCGCACGGGCATCCCAGACGCCTACGGCCACTAGACACGCACTTTCCAAACTGGTCTTCACAACGGCTGGGGGAGCACATAGTCCAAGAGCTCGGCAAGGCTTCGGACCAATGTTTGGCCACATGGACGTGTCTTGAAGGCAGGGGGTTAGCGATGGTTCGCAGTCGGCGTCTGCAATACAATACTGTTTTCACACTTCCCAACCATCCTGTGGTGTTGGGTCCTCGTTTTGAAGATGGTCCCCGCGTCTCCTCCACCTCCTCTTCTCCTCCTCCTCCTCCCCTCCTCCCTCACGTACACCCCTCAAACGTTTCGTGGCCCCAATAAGATGCTCCACCGAAGGTACAGATGCCAGCACTCGCATGCGGTCTCCGCACCCACTTTGGCATACCCCTCACACGCTTCGTGGCGCCATCGGGAGCTCCACCGAAGGCCACGATGCCAGCGCTCGCATGCGGTCTCCGCACCCATTTTGGTACACCACTCACACGTTTCGTGGCCCCACATGGAGATGCCAGCGCTCGCATGCAGCCGCCGCATCCATTGTGGCACACCCCTCACTCGGTTCGTAGCTCCACAGGGAGCTCCACCGAAGGTCCAGATTGCCAGCGCTTGCATGCGGTCTCCGCACTCATTTTGGCATACCGCTCACACGCTTCGTGGCCTCATGGAGAACTCCACCGAAGGTCTAGATGCCAGCGCTGGCATGCTCATTTTGGCACACCGCTCACGCGCTTCGTGGCCTCATGGAGAACTCCACTGAAGGCCCAGATGCCAGCGCTTGCGTGCGGTCTCCCCGCCGATTGTGGCACACAACTCATATGTTTCGTGACCTCATGGGGAACTCCGCAGGCCCAGATGCCAGCGCTCGCATGCGGCCGCCGCGCCGATTGTGGCACACCCCTTCCAAGTTTCGTGGTCCATAGGGAGCTCCACAGAAGGCCCAGATGCCAGCGCTCGCGCGCGGCCGCCGCATCCATTGTGGCACACCCCTCACTCTTTTCGTGGCTCCACAGGGAGCTCCACCGACGGCCCAGATGCCAGCGCTCACACGCGCCTGCCGCACCCATTTTGGCACACCCCTCTCAGGCTTCGTGAACCCATAGGGAGCTCCACCGAATGCGGTGCACACAACGACAATATATCCACCACTGCAGATGGTTGGGTCCTTCGCCAAGCTATCTTTTCCGGTGACGATCGTTACCTTGGGCGGAAGGAACTGGGGCCCCGGGTTGAGTGTGTCTGCGGGGTCAGGTCTGCAAAACTTCCCAAACGGACGCCAAAGGGCTCAACCAACATGTTCAGTCAAGCTGAAATTGATGCAACACACCCGGCGTCAAGCCAAATCTTTGGACATCAACGAGTGGTTGGACACTGCACATCTTCGTCGGCAGAACCGGCGAAGTGCTTGACGACCTCGACGTCACATTCTGGCGGTCCTGCAGAAGAAAGCGCTCTCTAACCCTCGGCCCTGCTTAAGCCTTGGGCAACGGCAGCGCAAAGGGCGGGGTGGGGCACGGCGGGTCGGGGTTGCGCCACGATCGCCATCGCACGCGCGCGAGCACCAGCATGTGGGGGGGGACGTCCAGGCCCTCTGCGTACGATCGCTACCATTACCCGCGAGGGGGGGTGGAAGGGCTTGGCCCGGGAACGGCCGTCACGCGTCAGAGGGCAAGAACCAATCTCTACGTACTTATGAGGCCTCCTAGGTGGGCTCCGAGAGGATGAGGTCGGAGGTTCGCGCCGCATCACCAATGCATCGGAGATGCGGTTCGATGTGGAGCCCTGTCCTCCACGCCGACGTCGCCGGTGCATCGGCGATGCGGCGCGATCCTCCGAACCCATCTACTCTGAGTATCGTTTAACCGATCTCCATCCCCAGCGGCGTGGCCTGGGCCCCACTGGCCGATTTACCCCCCTAGATGGGGATAGTGGGGGGAAACGATTAATAAAATTGTTGGGGGCGGACGATTAAAAAAAATGTTTCGCGGGCCTCCTCGGCCCCGCAAAAGCCGGGGGGCAGGGCAGGCAAACGGGGGGCTGACAATTCCGGGTTGCCTGGAAGGCCAAGGGGGGGGGGGGCACGGGGTGGCGATCCAGGGCGCGGGGGCCAGGGGGGTAGACGGGGTGATTTATTCAGGGCGAGCTCCTTCCTCCTCCTTCCTCCTCCGCCTCCTCCTCGTCGTCCTTCTCCTCCTCCTCCTCCTCCTCCTCCTCCTCCTCCTCCTCCTCCTCTTCCTCCTCCTCCTCCTCTTCCTCCTCCTCTCCTCCTCGTCCTCCCGGCTCGGCGGGCAAGGGGGCGGGCGCCCCGCGGGCGCCCCCTCTCGAATTGCGCAACGGCGCGCGCGGAAAATAATTCTGGCGGAGAAAGGCAAAGCAGGCGGACCGTCTGTGGCGACGAACGTGCCACGTCGTGCTCTGCCATGCTACGCTTTGATATTGAACGCCATGCTATGCAATGTTATGTTCGGGGCCGCTGTGCGATGCCATGCTTTGCGTTGCAAAGATTTGTGATGCAATTCTGCACTACGCCACGCCACGCCATGCTGTGACATACTACGCTTTGCGGTGCTCTTCAACGCCCTGCCATGCCGTGCTCTACAATGCATCGCGTACCCTTTCGGGATCATTGCCCTGCTCGACATCCAACTGTGCGAGTAGAGAGGGGATCTACGCCATGGTAAGGGATGGGAGGGAGGGGTAGGCTGTCATATATGACGCGAGCGCACCTGGCTTGTCCTCCCCCCTCCTCCTCTTCCTCTTCCTCCTCCTCCCCTTCCTCCTTTTTCTCCTCCTCCTCCTCCTCCTCCTCCTCCTCCTCCTCCTCCCCCTCATCCCCCACCTCCCAATCGCCGCGGCCGTCCGCAAGGACGACCGGCGGCCGTCCTCTTCCTTAGTACTAGAAGAATCTTCATGACACTTTTTATTATAATTTATTCTGGGCAAGGACGAGGGTGATCAAGCGCCTCTTCGAAAACCCCTTCCCTAATTACCCCGTCCCCCCTCCGCAATCCCTCCCCCGCGGCCGCGGGTGATCAAGCGAGCGAAGAGAACGAATAGAAAATCAGTTCCCCCAAAGGGGCAAAAGCAAAGGCCGGGGGGCGGACGTTTTAAAAAACAGTTTCGGGCGGCTGAATTCTATTAGTCCGCCCCACTCAATCATTTTGGGGGGTCCGGGGGGGGGGGAGCATTTTTTTTATCGTTTCCTCCCATTACGGGTCGTCCCCCTCGGGTTTCGAGGGGTGTATCCCCTCCCAACTGGGGTGATAATTTGGTGGGGTCTCGAAGGGGATGGGGAAGGGGATTGGTTAAACGATACCGATACTCGGACCCCATCGGCCATCGAGGAGGCCTAGAGCACTTCTGCTCCCCAGGAAGCTCCAGCGTCACGCCGAGCTCCTCCACCCAGAGGCCCTCGTGGAGCCGGGCGGACCGGCGCTCCCAGGCCGTGAGGTCAGGGGCCCCGGCCGCCAGCCTCGCGAGCGGGGCCCGCGCCGAAGCGCGCGCGGGGGGCCCGTCGGGGGGCGGGGCAGGGAGGAGGGCCCGAGGGGAGCAGCGGAGCCGAGCGTCCCTGCCGCCTCCTCCCTCCGCCCTCTGCTCTGTCGCCCTTCCTCCTCTCTCCTCCTCCTCCCCCTCCCCCTCCTCCTCCCCCTCCTCCTCCTCCTCCTCCTCCTCCTCCTCCTCCTCGACACCGCCTGGCGGACAAGTTCAGCTTGTCCACGCCTCCTCCTCCTCCTCATACTCCTCCTCCTCCTCCTCCTCCTCCTCCTCCTCCTCCTCTTAAACAGCATCTCTCCACAAGAGGGCGAAAAGGATGTGGAGCGGGTTGGGGAATAGAAGGCCAGAAGGAGGTTTGAAGGTCCCAAAACCGTGTGGTGACATACCGCGCGGTGACCTCGGAATCCCAGGAGACCTCACCACGCGGTCCGTCGCCGCACGGTTTTGGGACCCTGGAGGCCCCAATCGGCCGAGACGTGCTCGGAGAGCGACCCGCGTGGCGACCCCGATTCCCCACTGACTCACCGCGCGGTGCGGTTTATACACCGTTTGGGGGCCAGAGGGGGGGAAGCGGAGCGGAGCAGAGCGCCGAATACGTCCCAAAGGACGGCACATGTAGGAACCCTGCGGGAAAGCCGTAGCCCTCAGGTGGCGATGAAAAATGACAGGTAAACGGAGTTAATCAGATCAGATGCGCGTGAGTTCCTGCGCCTCGCTTCGACATACGATGGGGTCTACTCCTCCATAGCGATGGCATCACTGGAAGCTCTATGCTCGTCCAAGGATGGGGGCAAGAGGGGCTCTGACTACGGATCCGCCCGACTTCGGGCGATGTCGCTGGTCAAGCATAAATGTCGCCCCTGTGGTTCAGCCTCCTTTGAACTCGATGTCCGCGCCACATTACCGTCGCCTTTTCCGCCACAACTCTGCGGGAATATCCGCACGCCTTGCCCGCGGCAGAGACTTCCGCCCTGCCCTACTTGCTCGCAACGCTTCGGGTGCACTGCCGACAAAAACTCGAATAGGAGAGTCCAACAATGCACGGCGGATCCGGAGTGAGGGCAGAGGGGGAGGTGAGGGGCAGGGCCCGGGAGGATCGACGGCTGGACGTGTTCTACACCGCTGGCGCCTCTGGGGGGCCCCTCGTCGCCACGGCTGGGTCCGCCTCGAGACTCTGGTCGCAACGCGCTCCTGGAGAGGACCGAAGGCTGAGCTTAGTGGGGGGAGGGGCATTGGGGAGGAGGCGGAAAGAGGACGATGAGGAGGGAGAGGGAACGGAGGTAATGGTAATGGTCATGGTAATGGCAATGGCAATGATCATGGCAAGGGTAATGGTGCATCGGCGAGTCCGCCGCGCCGCTACGTGGCAGGACCAGGCTAAACTCACTCCTCGTCTGGGAAAGGCCACAGCTCTGAATCGGTCGCTCTGGCCAGGATCTTCGCCCGCCGCAACTCCTCAGCCCATTCCACCGCCAGATCGGGCGAGGCAAAACCGCGCAGGCGGGCGACCGTATAGGGGTCCAGCACAGGGGCATCCATCCCATACTGCCAGAGGAGGAGGAGGAGGAGGAGGAGGAGGAGGAGGAGGAGGAGGAGGAGGAGGAGGAGGAGGAGGAGGAGGAGGAGAGGTAAGAGGAGGAGGAGGAGGGGGGGGAGGAGGAGGAGGAGGAGGGGAGGAGGAGGAGGAGAGGAGGAGGAGGAGGAGGGGAGGAGGAGGAGGAGGAGGAGGGGAGGAGGAGGAGGAGGAGAGGAGGAGGAGGAGGAGGAGGAGGAGGCGGAGGAGGAGGGGGTAGGAGGAGGCGGAGGGGGAGGGGGAGGGGGAGGAGGAGGAGGAGGAGGAGGAGGAGGAGGAGGCGGAGGAGGCGGAGGAGGAGGAGGAGGAGGAGGAGGAGGCGGCGGGGAGGGGTAGGGGAGGAGAGTGGAGGCGGAGGAGGAGGAGGAGGAGGAGGAGGAGGAGGAGGAGGAGGCGGAAGTAGGAGGCGGAAGCGGCGGAGGAGGAGGAGGAGGAGGCGAGGGAGGAGGAGGAGGGAAGGGGAGGAGGAGGAGGAGGAGGTGAGGAGGGGAGGGGGAGGGGGGGGGGTGAGGGGGGGAGGAGGAGGAGCGGATTGAGGAGGTGGAGGGGAGGGGGAGGAAGGGGGGGACAGGGGGATGGGGGCGGAGGAGCGGCAGGAGGAGGGGAAGGAATAGGAGGAGGAGGAGGAGGGGGAGGAGGAGGGGGAGGAGGAGGAGGAGGAGGAGGAGGAGGAGGAGGAGGAGGAGGAGGAGGAGGAGGAGCTGATGGCCCCCTCGCGGCCCTCAGGCCCAGACGCCCTATGCGGCACGCGAGCGGGCTCCGACCCCAGCCCCCCCCCCCAGCCTCTCCAGGGGCACCCGCCTGGGATCCCATTAGACTCTCATGCAGCCACTCAATACTTCGGAAGCCAGTCCACACGAGACCTTCAACAAGAAACCCAACCATGAGACCCCAGGGCGCGCATTGATTCTTCGGCGTGGGCACGCCACGCCTTCCGCAGCAAAGCCATCGAGACCCAAGAAACCCAGGACACCCTGGAGAGGCAAGCAGGATGTCTCTGGGCATGGGCATGCACCCCGTACTGCCGGAAGCTGCCGGGCCCCTCGCGACCCTTAGGCCCAGTCGCTCCGGGCGGCCCGCCTGCGGGCCCAGCCTCTCCAGGGGCACCCGACTGGGATCCCATTCCACTCTCCCGCAGCCACTCCGTGCCGCCCTCGCCGAAGCCTCCGAACACGCGCAGAAACCTTTTTCGGCGCGGCGGCGGGGAGGGCGCAGGCGGCGCCTGCGGCGAGAGACCTCGGGGCATCGAGACCGGCGTGCTGGGCCCCGAGGCACCCGCCCGCCAGCCCTCTCCCAGGGGAAGCCCGCGGGCCCACGGGAAGCCCGACGGGACCTGCACAGGAGAGGAGCAGGGGGGAGGGGCCGTCGGCCTCCCCTCCGGCACCTCGCACTTGGCCGCCGATGAGCCCTAGAAGCCGCCACGGCTGGCCCGAGAAAGCCCCCAGGCACGCAAGAGGTATCTGTACACCACCACCGTCTCTGGCCAGGGCCCGCCAGTGCTCGCGCATGGTGTACACGCCTCCTGGCCGAAGCCAGGAGCGTCTATACACCATCGTGGGGCCCAGGGCGGCCCCCGCAAAACACTCTCGGGTGGCCAGGACCTCGTCGACACAGTTCTCGTCCGAAGCAAGGTCCAGGTCAAGCACAACTTCTGCAATGCCTACGATCCCGTGATTGTCGAGGAGATCAATATCCACTTGCCATGCGTGCAGACAACTGGTCCAGTGCACAAGCTCGCGCGCGTGAGCTTCGCAGGCCTCACTGGAAAAACAACGTGCCTGGCGGAGTCCTCCAAAGGCCAGCTCCTTTTCTAGCACATCGGTCGTTCAGACTGCACCGAGTTTCCTGGAAAAACTGGTCTTGGGTGGATCTGGCATGGCCCTTGACTTTTTGGCCATCGTGGTTTCACCGTGCCTGTGCCACCAAAGCCTCCAGAAATGGAGATTGGCGCTCGCTGGGAAGAGCGCTTTTTCCCTTGTCACCAAAGCAACCTTGACGCTCGCTGGTGAGAGCGCTTTTCCCGGGTCAACTGAGCAACCGACCAAGCCAGAGCAGTGGTACATATGGTGCCTTTTGCCCCGCACCGCCTGCAATTCGGACTGCAAGCCTTGCACATCTCAAAGGGAGAACGGAGACACGGTCCACGTCGGGTCCGCGCCCGACCACCGACTCCCGGGTGGCTTGTTATTAACAGGCCAGCGTCATGTCTCCAGAATTTGGCATTTTATGCATAAGCACGAGCAGGTGGAGGAGAGGGGGCAACACCAGCACCTCCACTTACCCATCCCCCCTTTGACTGACTGTGGGCAATCTACACGACAGACGGGGCAGGGATCAGGGAAATATCAGGGACAGAATTTGATTACGGTTGTATGTGTGCTTGCATGGTTGCATCAGAGTGCGGGTATATTTAGACACAGCCGTGGAAATGCCATGCATGTACTCTGGGTTTGCGTGGTCTTGTGCCTGCTACCCGGGGTTGGGGCAAGAACTAGATATGAGCTCGATGAGCCAATTCAGCAATGTGCATACGGAGTGGTCGCAGGAATTACGCACAACAGTGCGATGACACCTCCAGGGAATAATGCGTATGTATGTGCACGTGAATGGGACGGCAGTTTATGTCCCAATGACCTCGCTGAAGGTCTGGTTTCAATTGCGATGGTGGTACTGTGTGTGCGGGTGGCCTCGGGGTACAAGAGGGCCCCTCCCTACCCACAGCGTGCCATGGTCGATTCATGCTTTCTTGTCCGGGTCCTTTGCACAGAATGCGGGTGCAGGAGGGAGGCCAGGAGGGTCAGCAAGAGCAGGGTACGGAAGCGGAGAGTACGGAAGAGGGCGAGGGATTGGGCCCCCCTTTTCTACACGGGTATCCGCCGACTCCTGAACAGAACGGTATGGTTCAAATATGGACTGTGCCGCTCGAATGCAACAATTTTGACTACAGTTTGGTCCGACCACCTACTTGCAACAATAGCTGCCGGCAGTGGGTCCGAGCAGATTTGGGCACCGACGGATCGGACCGATATGACGTGTTGGGGCTACCTGCAGGCACCCAGCGTGTATTCCACCATTTGTTTCACTAACCTTGCACTGTTGCCTCTTCTCCTTTGCAGGGGTTGCCATCGGCGTAAAAACATGTCTCAGGCGCAGAGAAAACCCGCAGGACTCGAACACCAGGACTTCCACCACATGCTCTCCGAGGGCGGCTGGGATGTATTAAAAATCCCGCCATCAGGACCTGGTGAGGCCGCATTCGACTTCAGGATCTCTGAGGAGGACGGCCAGAGAATTCGCCGGCCCAACGGGCCAGGGCGTGCTAAGATCTCCGGTAACTGGTTAACAGTATTAACAGTATTTCTAGTTCGCGCGCGCGGGGTGGCCCTGGGGGTCCCCCGGCGAAAAG